AAGAAGTAGTACTTTTCGAGACAGATTATCTTCATACAATAGTCCTTAGACATTTAAGTTAGTAAAAAAGCATTTTATAAGCTATAGGTTTAGAGGTACTTTGCAGTCTTTTTTCTTACGTAATGTAGTCATTGCTAAACAATTCTCAAAGAGAAAAACAGGCTTGAGAAAAACATGTTATTCCAAAACACTTGTTAAAAAGACAACAATATATCTGCCCTAATAAAATGTATTATGAAGCTACAATAATCAAAACAGTGCAATACTAACATCAGCACTGACAGAAACATTAATGGAATAGAATAGAAAATTTGGAAATGGACCCAATTAGTGCATGATAAAGTTAGCATTTCAAATAAGTGGGGAAATAATGGATTATTCAGTGAAAGGTCTTGAGATAAACAGCTATCAAATTGAAGGAAAAAAAAAACTAGATCAACTCTCTACCTTATAAATGACACCAAAACAAATTCCAAGTAGACTAGCATTTAAAATTATTTCATAAAATAATAACTATACCAAAGGAAAATACAGGTACATTTTTATATTATCTTAAATTGGAAAAGGCCTTTTTAGGCAGAGCAACAATTAATAATATAAAGGACTGATTTAATTAAATAAAACATGTTAACTTTGTTAAAGCAAGAAATACCACAAAATTAAAGAAAAATAAGTTAGAAAAAATGTTTTTGATATTTACAACAATCAAAGAATTAGTATCCTTAATATGTAAAGGAGTCCTTCAAATCAATAAAAAGGAACATCTCACTTTATAAAAGAACAAGTAATTCACAAAATGGCTAAACAAAAGAATAAATATTCAAGCTCTCTGATTACCAGAGAGATACAAATTATTGTGACTCTATTTTAAATAAACAAAGCTTTAAAAGAATTACAAAATCCATTGTTGTTGGGGGTATAGGAAAACAATATTCAGCTACAATGTTGGTGGGAGTCTAAATTGGTATAACCTTTCAATAAGTCAATTTGGATAAAAATCTTTAAAAAGTCCAACTCCTTTGACTAAGTTATTTCTCTTGTAGGAATTTATTCAAAGGTATATTAGTTTCCTGTAGCTTCTGTCACAAATTAACACAAACTTGGTTGCTTAAAACAATAGGAATTTATTGTCCCACAGTTCTGGCGCCCAGAAGTCCAAAATCAAGGCGTCAGTAGGGCCCCACTCCCTCCAGGGCTCTAGGTAAGACTGCATTCCTTGACTCTTCCAACTGCTAGCGGCTGCCAGCATTCCTTGGCTTGAGGCCACATCACTCCAATCTCTGCTTCCATCTTCATATTGCCTTCTCCTCTTCTGTGTGCCTCTTCTCCCTCTGCCTCCCTCTTATAAGGATACTTATGATGGCATTTAGGGCCCACCTCCATATTGCAGGATTATCTCCTCGTCTTAAGATCTGTAACTTAATCATATGTGCAAAGATCTTTTTTCCAAACAAGGTAACATTCATAGCTTCTAGGAATTTGATGCAGATATCTCTTGGGGGGCCATTTTTTTGGTCTACCACAGAAGATAACAATGGAATAATTGCCTAAGGATGTTATTGCAGCATTAAATATAAGTAAAAAATTAAAAAACAAAGGAAATAATCAAAATGTTTAATACCAGGGTATTAGTTAAACAAATGATGGTACATCCATATAGTGAATATACAGTCATTAAAAATAATGCTGATGCAAAACATTCCAGTTATCCATTGTTACATGTGAAAAAATCACCCAAAATTTAGTGGCACATAGTAATAATTATTGCAGGCAAGATCTACTGATGGATGCTAAAATTAGTGGGCAAAATTTTGAGGAGAAACAGGATATTTGAATAGTCTTAAAGTAGCTCCCCCAAAATACTTATTAATTGCTAAAGGAAAAATAGCAACTTTACAGTAGAGAAAGCTGGCAGACACCACCTTAACCAAGTTTTCAAGGTTAATATCACCAGTAATAAGATATATCAACATCAGGTACCCTGAGTGTGGCTGACTGAGAGCACATAACTTCTGGGGTATTCTTGCCAAAAATGCATAACCTCCATCTAACCAAGAGAAAACATCAGACAAACTGAAATTGAAGGATATTTTACAATATAACTGACCAGTACTCTCCAAACGTGTCAAGATTCTGAAAGACAAGGAAAGAATGAGGAACTGTCACAAATTGGAGAAGACTAAGGAGACATTACAACTACACGCAATATGGGATCCTAGATTGGATACTAGAAAATAAAAAGGATATTAGCGGAAAAACTGGTGAAATGTTAAGAAGGTCTGCAGTTTAACTAGTAGTACTGTAATATTTTAATTTCTTAGTTTTGATCATTGTACTATGGTTATACAAGATGCTAACATTAGGGGAAGCTGGGTGAAGAGTATATAGGAACTCTGTATTATTTTGCAACTTTTCTGTAATTTTAAAATTATTTCAAAATAAAAAGTAAAAAACAAAACTTGGCATAAAACAGTGACCATTTTATTATGCTCATGATTCTGCGGGTCAGTAATTTTAGGGACATGCCAGAAATAATTTATCTCAGCTCCACCATGAATGGGGCCTAAGCTGGGGTGGCTGCATTTGGCTGCTGACGTCTGGACCAGCTCAACTGGAGCCATATGTCTAGCCTTGGGTATTGTCTACATGATGTTTGCTAGGAATGAAATGTCCAAGCTTGCTCCGTCACTCACATCTCTGGTGCTGCACTGAGATAGCTGGAATAGTCAGTATAATGTTTCTGAGGGCTGCTGTACAAATTACTATGGAATGGATGCCTGAAAGCAACAGAAATTCATTCTCTCACAGTTCTGGAAGCTAGACACCTGAAATCAAGGTGTCAGCAGGACCACACTCCCTCTGAAGTCTCTAGGGCAGAATCCTTCCTTGCTTCTTCCTAGCTTCTGGTGGCTCCCGGCAATCCTTGGCGTTCCTTGGCTTGTAGCTACATCACTCTAATCTCTACCTCTATCTTCACATGGCCTTCTACCCTGTGTCATTGTGTTTCTGTGTTTCCATGTGTCTTCTCTTCGTATAAGGATACCAAATATTGGATTGAGGGCCCACCCTAATCCAGTATGACCTCATCTTAACTAATTACATCTGCAAAGATCTTATTTCCAAAAAAGGTCACATCCTAAGGTTCCTGGTGGACATGAATTTTTGTGGGACACTACTCAACTCACTACAGGTGGGAACCAGCCAGCATCACTCTCTCTCTGCACACCCTCTCCATATGGCTTGGCTGGACTTTCTCATGGCATGGCAGCTTCAGAGTAGTCTGACCTCTTACGTGATGGCCTGCTGTCCTCTGCTTCCGAGAAGAGAAGCAGAAACTGCCAGTCTTCTTACTGGCTAGGTCTGGAACTGGTGTAGTATTACTTCTGCTGTAATATATTGGTCAAAGTATTCGTAGGCCAGCCCAGACTGAAAACACAGGGAGAAATAGACTCCATCTCTAAATGAGGAGTGAAATGAACATACATAGAGGGAAGGAATTGATGGCAGCCATCATGGAAACAAGCTACCACACAGATCTGTTCTGATTGATAAGTAAAGGTGCTCATGAGATACAAATTAGTGAAAAACAGGTTACAAAACACCATACATATAATTTGATCTCATTTTTATTTTTAAAAATATATGGATATATGCACTAAAAATGTCTCAAAAGATAAAGAGTAAACCAAAATATTAATAGTGATTATCTCTACAAGTTGAGAATGTAGGTGATTGTAATTTTTTTCTTCTCGTTTACCAATATTTTCTAATATAGATTACACGTGTTACTTCTGTAACAACACAGAAGAAGTAGAAAGTAAATGATCTATCATTTTAACAAGCAAATATTTTTTGGTGTTTCAATTACGATATTTCAATAAGGCCAATTTAGATAAAGATCTATCCAATAGAAACTCAGAAAGATTCATTTTTTTACAAGTCCTTAGTCATACAAAGGGCAACCCAGATGGGGCACCACCTTCTTGAGGAGAAACATTTGGTGCATTCTAAACCCAAATCCCTCTGTCCCAAGCAGCTTCTGGGCTCTCAATGCTGGGTCCAGAAAGGAACAAACCTGAAGGAATTTCATCCACATCAAAGCTCATGCTCAACAGCTGCAGTAGCGTGAACCAAGTTCTCGGGGTTCTACAATGTTAGACATTCACTTAGTAAAAGAAAAATGAATCCCAAGATTCTCAGAGAAATCAGAGGCCCCTGCTTAGAGTCAGTCTAACGCCCAAGCAGTACTAGATGACCACTTATGTGATGTAGGTTAAAGGATTTCAAAAGTGTCCTGCCAAAACATACCAACCACCTCCCAATCCCTAAAATATTTACTGCTATATAAGTAGGTTAAAGGTTACATGACTCCATAATACTTCTGTAGGAGGAGGAGTAGAATAAGAAGAAGGAGAAAGAAGAGGAAGGGAGAGGAAGAGGAGGAGGGGGGAAGAAGAGGGAAAGGAAAAGGAGGAGGAGACAAGAGGGAAAGGGGAGGGAGGAAGGGAAGAAGAATCACAAATATACATACACACAAGCGGGGGAAGTAGAAACATAGTTCAGAATTAATTGGCTGGTCTCAAAAGCAAGACTGTGAGAGAACAGGAAATAGGATAAATCAGTAATGGAAGTTAATGAAAGAGGCTGCAGAGGCCTGAGTGAGACACCTTGTGGGAGGATTCTAGGCAGTTAGGGGACTGTCTGCATCAACTAGGCATCTAGAGGCATCTAAGAGGCATAGGAAGTAAAGGCAAAGACATGCCTTGTCTATTTCCTGATTTTTCCCTGCCCTGTCCCCCTCACCCCGGAGCAGATACAAACGCTAAAAGACTGAAACATACCTAAATTCAGGGTGTTCCATATAATCCTACCAAATGTGATCATTTCCCCTAAAGAAGAGTTAAACTCACAAAGAAAAAGAAAAAATAACTGAATTGGGAATTTTACTTTAATCCAAATAGTCAATGACTCTGAGATAAAGATGAATAAATTTTACTCACCAACAGTTTCTTCTGATGCAGTAGTCAAAGCCAGAAACTTTTTTGTATTTTCCGTCTCCTCATTACTTTGCAAAGCTTCACTATTTTTTGCAGACTAATAAAAGAGAAATAAAAGTTTAAACATAGGAAGAGAAGGCAACTATACTCATTGATATTTTTTAAAATTTCAGCGTGGTTTCCAATTGTGTACATACAAACAAGAAGGGTCAGGTCATTTCTATTCCTTTAATTAGGAAATCTGTTCATGTTTCTAGCTCCCACAAAATTCTGTCAAGGAGTATTCCCAGATAGAGTTGGAATATATGTCTATCATTATATGATAACTACCTTGCTTAAAGTTTCTTGAGTTTCTATTTAATATTTCTATAACTAATGAGTAACCTAAAGGAATATCATCAAATTATAATTACAGACATTTCAAGATTGATACTGTATTTTATTATGTTTCTAGTTATAATTCTTAATTACAAGCAAACAAAAATTTTCTTTAAGATTCAACGGAAATAAGTGATAGGCTAACTTTTTCTGCTCAAATTTACACATATTATTTCTCTACTTTAAAGCACCACATTTTGCATGTTGCTTTCTTTCCATGCCAGTGGTCTTCCTAGGAACCTTGTAAAAATGTATTCTTAATTACTTCACTATTAATTCATATTATCATCTAGGAAATTTACTTAGAAGTCAGTCAACTGATCAAGGAGGAATTTATCAAAAACAACCAATCTGTTATTATAATTTTCCTTACCTTAAAAGCATTCTCCTGTGGGGGCAAAGTTCAAATATGAGCCAATAGCTATACATCAAGTCAGGGCCCACATCAGGTCAACATCCACCCCTCAATACCACAGAGAATAAAAGGTCCAAGAAGGCCAAGGAAAGTTAATCAAGCACTAGAAATGTATTGAGACAGAAGCAAATAGAGCATGGTCCCAGACTTCAAGCACTTTACAGCTTCCCAAAGAGATCTTGACCAGCGTATAACAGTGAACTCCCCCTGTCGGTCACAAAGCTTACTCACATAATAACAGTAACCAGGGGGTTAAGTTTTTGTGTATTTGTATATTTATCTCCAAACTATAAGGTTGCTGAAGAAAAAGCAGACTGGCATACTCGATGAAAGCAGATACCACATCCCTTTCTGTTCCAGAGATGGAGGAGCCCCAGCCTGACACTAGTAAGAGAGGCCGACGGCGCTGTCCACTGTCCACAGGGAATGAACACTCCAGTGCAGTGCCTCAATCTGTAATGCTGCAAAGTTATCTTCTCCAGTTCCAGAAACCTATCTCCCTCCCCAACCCCCATATACACATACACACACCACTGCTCCACCTCCACAAAACAAATCAATACAGGCAGAGCACATTAACACCACCACAGTCCATGCTTTTCTTATTCATCTTCAAGGAAATTGTTTCTTACATGTCAGCATACAGTTATACAATTCTTACCTTAAGTTTTTCCCACAGTTTTATTCTCATTTCTACACCTTGCCTCTTAATTTCTCTTTCTCTGTATTGTCTCTTCACCAATATCTTATCAAGCCGCTTCATCTTCTGAATAGCATCTTGAAGTTGAGAATCTAATTCTTTCAATTCGGGTTCATCTATATTGTGTTGAAAGTAGGAATGAGCTTGAAGTTTAATAAAACCATAAAGCTTTGTTTTGTTTGTTTTAACTATTTGTTCTTTCATTCAACAATCGTTCATGGCTGATGGTAATAACTAACATTGGTGACACGTGTCTTGATTTACAAAGTGCTTTCACACGTATTTTTTTCATGTAATTATCAAACAACCCTGTGAAATAGACATGTATCTCTATTTTACAATTGAGATAACTGGGTTCTTTCAAACAGCTAATAAATTACAGCAGTGAACTCAGAAGTGGGTCTCATATGATTTTAAATCCCAAATTCTTTCTCCTTCATTCTGCTATACCTTCTATATTCATAACTAACAAACAAGAAATAAGGACTAAGACCCTATCCCAAAGCTGCTTCAGATTAACTGAAGGAGAAGGCACGTATACAAATAGCTACAGTAAAATGTAGCATAAGTGACACAGAGTCGTTCCAATATATAGAAACAAACTCAGAAAAGTACTCCATATAATTAGACTCCTTTTATCTATGACCCTTCCATTGTTGAATTTCTTTGAAGTACCTCAAAATGCTCCTGAGTTGTGGATAATTAACAGTAACTTACCTGAAATTAGGGACTCTTTAGAACTTTCATCATCCAACTTTTAACCCATGATTAATGATAATGTTAATAACAGCAGCTAACATTTATAGAGTTTCCTGATAGGCACAGTATTAAGTGCTTTATTTATATTCATTATCTCATTTAATCCTCATCAGAACCCTGTGAAGTGGTATAATTATTGTCCCCATTTTACAAATTAGTAAACTGAGGCTAATTTGTAACTGAGTTACATACATGTCCAAGATAACATAACTAGTAAATGGCAGAGTCAATTTCCACCCAGATCTGTTTGACTCCAGAGCCAAAGCTCTTCACCAGCAGGCAATACTTCCTCTGTGAAGTCTGATGAAAGATGACAAGCTGGCAATTGCTTATAAATGCTCAAATACGAAAGTCTCAGCCTCCTCAGGGTAGATCATTAGAATGGCATACTATGCTAAAAAAGGCCAAATTTTACAACTTTTGAAAGGCCAAAGAGTCCAGTGATGTTTCCCCATACTGTATATCATTTCCTCTTTAAGGAAAAGGAGATATTTTAGAGGGAATAAGCTTACCCAAAAAGAATACTGATCTTATTAACAAGGAGGCTCTGCAAATCTTATTGCTTATGTACTTCAAATGCAACAGCCTCTAGTTCTAATCCCCAACTGCCAACCCTAGCATTCTCACGCTCCAGGTACACAGGTGGTCTGTACAGCAGGCATTTTGAAGTAACCCATGCAGTACTGAAACAACATAAATACAATGTAAACTGGGCTGATAGCTAATACCAACTAAAACACAGGATTAGTACTGTAATCCTGAGTCACCTAGCCTAACTTTGAGAGCTGACCTCACCCCAAACATATTCTAAACCAGCACTTCCCAAAGTTTATGATCTCAGCTTCCCTTTACCGCCTTAAACATTATCAAGAACCCAAAGTAGCTTTTGTTTATGTGAGTTATATGTATTGATAATTACCATATTAGAAATAAAAACTGAAAAATATTGTTAATATTTATTTATTCATTTTAAAATAATAAACATGTTATTACCAATTACATATTAACATAAATATAACATTTTTATAACAAATAACTATATTTTCAAAAAAAATTAATGAGAAGAATGGCATTGTTTTAAATTTTTAATATCTGGCTTAATAGAAGACAGCTGGATTCTCATATCTGCTTTTACAGTCAATCTATTGCAATCTGTTGTTTCAGTTAAAGTATATGAAGAAAATTTGGTCTCACATAGACATATAGTTGGAAAGGGAAGGAGAAATTTAATAGCCTTTTTACATGATTGTGGATATTCTTCTTTGATACTACATCAAAACTCGACAAGGGATAATGTGAAATCTGTAACCATATCAGCAACCTTTTTGTATTTGTTCCATTAAAATCCATGGATCTATCTTTCATGTTGGATGGATATTTTACCCTGCATTGGTCGTCTGGAAAACAGTGGTTCACTGAATTATGCAGACCTTCCAAATGTTAACACATTTCAGTATACAATATCAAAAACTCACATTTGTTAATATTGCCACCATTTTTACCAGAAAAGTCTAAGTATTGGGAAGCTGTCACACCCAAAGTGAATATACAAGTTTTCCAAAATTCTAATTTTCACTTGAAAACTCAAATTTTATCCTTGACAAAAAATACTGTCAGTTGTTTTCCTTGAAGTAACAAGCTCATTTCATTTAAAAAAAAAAAAAAAAATCTGCCAAATACCGAAGTCTGAACAATAATAGTTTGTCTATCAGTCACATTCTTTCAAATATAAAAGGTGTTCCATCAAAAAAGTGGCCAGTTCAGCTCTCAACTTAAACTATCATCAAGTCCTTTTCCTTAACACAACTGCACATTTTAGTATACAGAACTGCTTTATATGTACCTCCCATTTTACCACACAGGATATTAAAAAGATGTGTATTCAAAGGTCAAGATTTAACAAAATTAATAATTTTTACTGCTCCATCAAGGACATTCTTGAGTGACACTGGCTATTTTTTTTCCGCCAGTGCCTGGTCATGAAGAATACAGTGACTACTAGTACAATTTGGTGTCATTGCCTTGATTCATGCTAAAGCACCAGCGATTTTCCCCACCATTGCTGTTGTACCATCAGTGCACATGTACATTCAGCGGGCAAAAGGCAAATAGCATTATTTCACTATTATGATGAGTTATATTACTGATATATCAGTATTATGACGAAAGTAGTTTTTGCTTTGCAGAGCTCCTGAAAGGGTCTCAGAGACCCCCAGGGCTCTGCAGACCACATTTTGAGAACTGTTGTTCTAATTCACTTGGACCAGTATTAATTTAATAATCATGAAAAAAGGAGTCTTGTAAAATCCAAAAATTATTAAGATTAAGTAGGATTATCCCTAAAAAGGCATTTATAAATTACAGGATACATTCTATTGTACAATTTTAGTCATCAAAAAGATCAATAAATCATGTCATACAATGCAGAAATACTTTCTGCTTGATTAATGTAAAATGACAACAATAACAATTTTATGAAATGACATACTTTATTATTTTTCTAAGTGTATTTAAGGACTCTTAATATTCTTCCAAATAAAAACTGGTGGTTGCTTGCTCACAAAAAGCAATTATTTTTATCATTATTATTATTATTATTTCTACTTAGCTGATTAAAAAACATGTAATTCTAATATTTTAACTGCAACATCTGTAATTATCATTAGCCGTCACTAGGTAGTAATTATCCCACCTGAATATTCAGAGATTATCTGATGTTGAACCAACAGATCTTCATCTGACCCCTCTTCAGCCAATTTTATTTTCTCAGAGTAGTTTCCCCCTTTATCATCATTATCGTTTCTACTTTCCTCTGTGTTACTGCTTTCTGAGTGGCCCTCTTTACCAGAGTTCAACTTGATTGCTGTATCAACCTAAAAATTATTTCCAAAGAAACAGTTTTCAAAAATAATGTATTTTTTTAAAACTGTACTTTTCTAGACTATTTTAACACTAATGTAAATATGTGAGGACATACATACACTAGCATTATTCTAGAAATATAACACTTTATAATTAAATAGAATTTAACTACACAATTAAATTTAATAACATTTGCACCAAAGAAATATGTACCGTTCTCCAGCAATTTCTAGCAATGGAGAAGGGCCAGGAATCGCTCCTGAAGAGAACGGCTCTCTGCCAGGCTCAGAGGATGAGGCATGGCGGTCCCTGCTCCCTGAGCTTACACACAGAGGGAGAGTCACAGGTCTAGAGCTGTGCTGTCCAATACGAGAGCTACTAGCCACACGTGGCTACCAAGCAGTTGAAAAGTGAATAGTCCAAATTGAGATGTGCTTCTAATGAGATTCTTCAAGTCAGAACCATGTGCTTTGGTAATTAAGTTATTTTTATGCTATACATAGTTGTTCTATCTCATTTTGGTTTCTCTTCCCATTTTAGCAAAGTTCATTTTGAAAACACCAGTTTGGTGCAGATGTGTTTTCCTGAGAGAGAAAAAAAAAAGACTTTCACGGCTGCATCAGGGAAAAACAGGCATCAGAGGGCCCCGGGGGCTGCTCATGGCAGTGAGAGTCACGGTGGAAGGGAACACAGCCCAAGGGAGAGGCAAAACCTCAGAGAGAGACACAGTCAGCCACTTCTGAGAGGAGCACCTTTCCCCTCCAAGGGAGGAACTGTCTGCAGGACTCAGCTCTGGGAGGGTTTTATGCTCTCACTGCAGCCACATGGTCAACTCTCTGCCACGGTAATCTGCGCCCCTTTGTGAACCTCCAGGGCAGAAGGCAGGTAATGCTAAGAATTAAACTGCCAGGGATGCAGAAGCATCTCTGTTTGCCTGAACTAGGACCTAAGCCCCAGCAAGACTGAGCTGAGTCAGTGTTATAATCATCATAGCCAACATTTACTGAGGAATTCCTATTGGCCAGGCCCTGTGCTAAGTACTTTACACACGCTGCCTCGTTCACTCCCTACAACCACCCTATGGTATAGGCATTACTATCCCGATTTAACAGAGAAGAAACAAATCCAGTAAAAAATAAAACTAGTGAGGCCCAATTTATAAACAATGCCTACTCTATGTACCCTTGGAGGAGTTAAAGAGGGCTCCCTGTTCAAAAACATACTTGTCAAAGGCCGGGTAAAGCCCCAAGTTCCATAATATCCAGTAAATCCTTAAGGCTATATAGTTCTGTGAAAATGCTGAAATTGCTGGCAGAGGTCACATGAACCCTGTCAGTCACTTATATCTTGGCATAAATGAATGTGGCTGACCTTTCCCTGAGAATGAGTTTTTATATGGGGGAATATAGAATATGCAAAACATAGCTAGACATTAGCAACATACTTGGATAGCACACTTCAGGACACACAAAGACCTTTCACATACATCATTCTATATGATCCTAACTCTCATAATGAGCAGGAAGCAATAAGGCAAAAAGATGAAATGGAGAACAAAAGGTAAACTTTGCCCATTTCACCCATAGTTTGCTCATTTTACCCACAGTTCCCCACCCCACTAGCACCGACCATCTTCCCAATCCCATTGCCCCCAGGCCTCTGTTCCTAACCCTCCTGCTCTTCTACTCTGTGGCCTATGTGTATGATTTTTCTTTCTTCTTCATTCTCAAAGCCACATTCCACCTCCATTTTTCATTGCCCCATATCCCCCACTTCATACCTCCATATTAGTCTCAGAAAAGGTAAATACCCTATAAAAACTCTTCCTAAAAATTAGATTCCTACCTGAAAGTCATGAGATTTTACACAAATTACAACTATTGGATTTTTCAAAATAATATTCATAAGCAAAAATAAACCAAAATTTTTAGAATGAGAAATGTATTATTACTACGGAAATTTCATTAAAACTCTAGCATTTTAAACTCAATTTACGCCATATAGAAATTTTTGGTAAGAAATTAATAAAAGACAAATTTGAGCAATAAAACTAATCAAAATTCTAGGATTTATTATTCAGACAATATATAGAGTTTTACAGACATTGAATCATTTGCAACCAGCAGTCAACATTCAGTGTACCTGTGGCATCTCTTCCCCAACCTGACTTTCCATGAACTTTATTAACACAAATCACAACTTTTAGGAGGCTTAGCTTTTGATATAAATATCAAAGTCCCTGTTGGCTAATAAATACGGTAGAGTTTGACCTATAGCTTAGTGGGTTCAAATAAAATCTGACTTGAAGTCATCGCTGATATTTTTCTTTTAAATAAGTCTTGAATGAAGCAATATTAACCTATGTATTAAAACATGTATGTCAATATTGTGAAGTCACTTTTAAAAAATCATCATCCAGGAATATGTAAGGAGAAATACTAATTCTATGGTACTCTAAAATTTGTCAGGTCTTTGTGTATTATCCTACCTATGTAAAAAGGGAAAATCCTCACTCTGAATTTATTGAACACATATTTTGTGAATACATACTATACGTGCCAGACTTTACACGCAATGCTGTGACTAACACAGGAAGGACTGCCCAACTGAGTTAGTATTGAATATTTACTGGGTGCTAGTCACTGTTCTAAGAACTGTAGATATTTTATCTCATTTTATCCTCAAAACATGCCCATGAGGTGGCTACTATTATTACCCCTTTGAACAGATGAGGAAACCAGCACAGAGAGGCGAAGTAATTTGCCCAAAATCACATAAAATGTGGTCAGCAGAGCTCTAATTTGAACCCACGACTCCAGAGTTTAGGCTTCTATCACTATGCTTGAGACTAAAGAATCTAAAATTGTTTTTAGATTCCAGTTTGAGCTATACGGAAAACTGAATAAACTGAAATCCTCCATCTACTTAGAAATGCATCGATGAGCTCGTGAGAACATTAGGAAAATTGCCAGTGGAGAGAAATTAAAAGGAAACTGAAAACTAGAACAGGAACCTTGCAAATCCTTAAAGCCCTGGTTGGAGGTAGGAATAGGAGCAACAAGCAGAGGCAAACAAGGATGTGCTGGCCTCAGAAAGCTGTGGGGTTGGGTTTTAACCCCCATGCAGGAGTAGACTAGGCCTAGGGCCCAAGCAAGACAAGGAGATAGAAAGGAACCCTCCCTCTTCTGCTCCATAAAGCTGGATCCTTCATAGACGCACATCCTCCATGAGAGGGTAGACTAGAAAAACAAATCAATCCAAAAGCATAGGGAAAGAATAAAAAATGTGCCTGGGTTACAAGTGGGAAAAAGTCTTCCCTGAGAATTTGCAACCACAGGGTCATGCTTCATGTAAGCTGGGGTTCTAATTTATATTATTCTTGTGCTCTGTGATGCTTAAAGCTGAAAAACTAGCAAAAAAAGATTCATGCCAGTGATATCCCAGACATATCTGGTAGAAGCAAACAGAAACTTGCTCTGGAAGACATAGTTTCAAATCAGGCTCCATAAAATTCCCAAATTAAAGCTCACATTCCAAAACTTCAAAAGCCATGAATATATGACCAACAATAAGCAAGAATCACAATAAACAAAAGAACTTAATATATTAAAGGGCTGATAAAGATAATCATATAAATATTTTAATTGGTATAAAAAAGAATCAAAAAATATGAGATCAAGATACTGTAAAGGACAGATGGATTTGAAAATAAACTAAAAAGAACTTCTAGAAATTAAAAATATATCATTAAATTAAAAGATTCAATGAACTGATTAAAGAACAGATTTGACATAGTATACGAAAGAATTCAAAAATTAGAAAATGTATGTTAAAAATTCCCCAGGATGAAGCACAGAGAAATAAATGAATAGAAAATATTAAAAAGAAGATGAGAGACATGAAGCATAGAAAAGAAAGATTCAACACACACTTAATATGACTTCCAGGATGACGAAACAGGAAAAAAATGTAGGTAATATTTGAAATATGAAAACACAATGGCTGAGAATTTTTCAAAATAAACAAAACACACAAATCCTTAGAATGAAGAAGTACTAGTCTCCAGAAGGATAAATTAAATAAATCCATACCTAGGTGAATAATAGTAGATAGCAAAGACAAAGAGAAAAAAATTAAAGGAACCAGAGAAAAATATGTAAGCTAGACAACCCACACTAGAATGAATACTAGGCTTATAAAAGCCTTCTCATGGGTAACGAGAGAGGCCACAAGCACCTAAATGTGAAATATAAAACTCTCAGAAGAAAACATAGGAGAAAATCTTTGGGACTTTGGGTTAGACAAAGAGTTCTTAGGTACCAAAAAAAAAAAAAAAAACCCACAATTCCCAAAAGAAAAAAAAAATGATAAATTGACTTAAAAAAATTAAAAATGTTTGCTCTTCAAAAGACGCAAAGAATGAAAAGTCAAGCTACAGACTGGGGAAAAATATTTGCGAATCATAAATCTGACAAAAGACTCTATCTAGAATAAATAAAGAATTCTCAAAAATCAACAACGAGAAAACAAACACAATAAAAACAAGTTAGGCAAAAAATTTGAACATACACTTTCCAAAAAAGATATGTGGATTGCAAATAAGCACATGAAAACATACTCAACATTATTCATCACCAGGCAAAGGCAAGTTAAAACCACAATGAGATACTACTGTATACCTATGAGAATGGCTTTTTTTAAAAAACTGACAATATCAACTGTTGGTGAGGATGCAAAACAGCTGTGACTGTCATACATTTCTGATGGAAATAGAAAACAGTTTGACAGTTTCTTATAGTTAAATATACACTTACCATACAACCCAGCAGTCCCACTCCTAGGTATTTACTCAGGGGAAATAAAAACCTATTTCCTCCCCCAAAAAAAAATTCAGCATGCAAATATTTATAACAGTTTTATTCATAATCACCAAAACCTGCAAACAACCCAAATGTTCCTCAACTGGGGAATGGACAAATAAATTGTGGTACACCCACACAATGGAACACTACTCACCAATAAAAAGAAATGAACTATTGATACATGCAACAACATGGGATGTTAACAGCAGCCTTGGTTTATCAATTGCTAGAAGTCAGCAGAAGGAGTTTAAAGCATTTCTAAACAGCAAAGTTTACCTTGAAAAACGCTGGTTCTGGTGAGAGTACCTCCAAAGAAGAATTTGAACCTCTGCTCCCAGGACGTGTTCTTGAACTTGAGGCTGGTTTTGAAATTCCATCTAAGCTTCCCTTTATAACATCCATTGACATCCTGAAACAAACAAAAAAAAGTTTAAGCAAGTTATGACTTGTATGTTTAAATGTTTCATTAGCGTTAACATGCAGTTAACTCAGAGCCTTTGTTATACGGATTATGTGGCTACCAAAGTCACAGTACCCCAATTTCTTCATTGGGGTCCTTGCATCTGTGTCCTTGCATCATTAAATCTTATGTCCCCATAGGTGAAAAACATGCTGCCCAGGATGTTAGATTCTGAAAGTGGCTTAAAAAGAATGCAGAGCGAATGACATCTCAATGGCTTCTGTGCCTCCAAGAGAAACATTTACTGTGTCCTTGGCCTGAAAAGACACTCATGGAGCACCATGCCTCTCAACCAAGCAAGATTTCTGCTTCGTGGTTATGATTTGCTAAGGCCTCTAGTTTCTTCCGGCTTGGCCTTCCTTATTCTAGCCCTTCCCATTCTAGCTCAGCCTTCAGGCTGGGCTTCCCCCCAGCTCTGATTTCTCCTCTCCTCCTTGGTGCCACATTTTCATAGAGTAACTATCTCCAAGTTACTGCTCTTTTTCAATCAACCCTCACTGTCTAAAACCCATGATTCTGGGGCCAGCCCAGTGGCGCAAGCGGCTAAGTGCGCGCACTCTGCTGTGGCGGCCCAGGGTTTGCCAGTTCGGACCCCGGGCGCGCATCGACGCAGTGCTTGGCAAGCCATGCTGTGGCGGTGTCCCATATAAAGTAGAAGAAGATGGGCATGGATGTTAGCCCAGGAAAAGTAGAGGAAGATGGGCATGGATGTTAGCCCAGGGACAGTCTTCCTCAGCAAAAAAAGAGGAGGATTGGCAGATGTTAGCACAGGGCTGATCTCCTCACAAAAAAATAAAAAAAAATAAAATAAAACCCATGATTCTACTTCTGCCCTCTGAAACAACAGGGAACAAAACCTACTTTCTCTACTAGAGGACAGACTTTCATTATCTGGCTACACAGCCAATGTCTTTATTTTGTGTATGACACCATCCACAGGCCTCTCATCACTCTGGCTGCTCTATTCCCTGTGCTGTTTTCAGAGGCAGGAAATATTAAGCAGGGTGGTTTAAACTAGGGGGAGAACTTAGGCATTGTAGGCAGATTGATCCTTCCAAACTGTGCCCTTGATCAGGACCATTCCAGATTTCTTCAGTAATGTTAAGGTATCATGCATGCTGAGTAAAACGGAAGCAACAGGAAGAATTCCAGATTTTGCCTTCTTGATACTTAGCTTTACATGTGAATGGATATCTCCCAACAAATCCTTTCCTAAATTCCTATCAATTATGAATTAAACCATTTCTCTTATAACAGAAGGAAGCAAGGCAGTTGCCTCTTGCCCATAGAGTATAAAAATGTCCTTTTCTTACCCTACAAAATGACTCATCTTTCTTTCTTTTCTTGAACAGCAGAGGCAGAGTTCAGGGAAGTTTTAGACACAGGAGGAAGCACAAACATAAACCCAATGCTCCTCCAAGGCACACAGAGGGATAATATGATTTGGCCTCCAACCATTCAGTGTGCCAAAGCTGATGCTTAAGGGACCAGTAGGTCAACTCTTTCCATCTCAGCAAATGAAAAAGGCATTGATCTCAATATTATTCAAACTCTGCAAAAGGGTTTGGGTTCACTCAGGAGGGCACTGACATTATTATTGTGGGATGATGGATCACCTTGGCCCATCACATCACAATCAAAAAGCATAAGTCACCAAAAGGCCAAATGTCTTGTAAATGCCCTAAGCAGCCTGTCAAGGGAAGCTTACTGCAGCTTACAGAGGGAACAATGAGATGGAAACATGTGCAGAGCCAGTATAATACATGTCAATAAAGGGAGAGGCACAGGGAACCATCAGGGACACGGATCAGCTAAAAGGCTGCAGAAATCTTCCAATTTGCTTTAGAAATAGGTCTGTCCTATTATGTTTGTTCCTGAAAATAATAAATTAAATAAAATACAGTTCCCAGGGTGGGTGGGGATGTAATTAACAATCTTATGAATTTGGCCATGTAGAAAAAAGTATGGATAAAGGACACTGATTTAGGATCATATAGATGTATTTGAGTGTTTGAGAAGAAATCTCAATAGCCACGTAGAGATTCCACGAGAAAAATAAAGCATCATACAAGAAAGAAAGCAATTGAATGATAAATACTTATAATTACATAAGCACTGAATGTTGATTTAACCAAATACTGCACCTTAATTATACTGAGGGTATGTGGGGAGGAGTATGTAAAAGAAGAGATAGTATAAGAAATCTAATCTCTCATAATAGGAAATCAAAGAGAATGTCCAAAACTTGATAAAGCCAAACAATGGTTAGACAAGCATAATATTTACAAGTTTAAGATAGTTGCCTGTAGAGAGTGAGACTAGGGTTTACTTCTTTTTTTTTCCCATTGTAAACGTTATAGTACAGTTTGACATTTTTGACTATATAATTTTAATAAAAGTAAAAACTAATTTCAAAAATAATAAATAAATTAAAATATGAAATCTCCAAGGGACTAGAAGGAAATATAAAGATCATTCATATAATGAGGTTAATGACTTATTAAATGTGACACCAAGAGCATAAATCAAAAAGTAAGAGACTAATAGATTTGATTACATAACATTTAATGCTCTTGAGTGTCAAACAAACAAAAAGAACTCTAAATTAAATCAAAAGGCACCTGAGAAACTAGGGAAAATATATGCAACATAGATAATACACAAAAGGTTAATAAGTTTACAGATTTAAAAGACTCTTACCAATCAATAAAAAAAGAAGCATCCCAATAGAAACCTGGCTAAGGGCATAAACAAGGAATTCACATACCAAAAAAAAAGAGAGCGAGAAAAGGTGACGTCAGCATCGTGGCAGAGTGATCTGTTCCCTTTGTCTCCCCTCTCTAAGTTACAACTAAACAGACATCCATTAACCAACAGAAGACTCCCCATACAACACAACATGATGCCTGAGAGATCCACACAGCCATACATCTGAAGGTGGGTGGACTGGAGTCCTGGGAAGCAGTGGAACTAGGTGAGCCAACACCTCCCCCTCCCCAGCAGCAGCAATCCAGGTCGCAGATCCTCACACAGCAGCCAGGGCAACTGTGAGTGGAGACGGGGGCAGCCCTGCCCACCCAGGAACACTTGTGGAGCTGTGGTAGCACGGCCTGCAGGAGTGTCCACTGGGCCACAGCAACCCTGCCTGCATAAACATTCCCCACTGAGTGGTGGCACCTCAGCCTACATGAAGGCATCCCACCAAGCAGTGGCCCCACCCACGCCTAGAGGCAGCAGCAAGGCAGCAGCCAGGCCCACATGAAGGCACCCTGCCCAGTGGCTGCCGTCGTGCTGGCACGAATGCAGAGCAGCAACCGGCACAACCTTGAGCAGATGGAGCAGGAACAGGAAAAAACGCCCCTGCCCCACCCAACAGTGGCAGATGGAAACTGCAAACAGGAACAACAGCAGAACTCATGACCCAGCCCCCAGAGGCAGCAACCCCAACACCAGCTCCACCAGCAGCAGGGTTCATATAAAAGTCCCTGGGTCCCCAGGCCCCCACTAGCGACAGTGACATCCATGAACCCAGCACCCCTGGCAGCAGTGCAACCAGCACCCCAAGACAACCTGAGAACAGCAGCACAGGTGGTGCACGGGACAGCAGCATCCAAGCCCAGGAAGAGCCAGTGGAGGAACACAAGACCCAGGTGACCAGAACCAAAGTAACCAAAGTTGTATCCAAACAAGAAACGGTGATTACTACCACAAATGCACTGGCAAAGGATCAATTCATCAAACACCGAGAAGAACTACAGTAACACTGCAGAACAGAAGGAAAATGACAACTCTCCAGAAACCAAACCTGAAGTCACAGAAGACTACAATCTAACTGACAGAGAATTCCAAATAGCTATCACAAAGAAACTCACGGAGTTACAAGAAAACTCAGGAAGACTGTTCAATGAGCTCAGGAATAAAATGAATGAACAGAAGGAATACTTCACCAAAGAGACTGAAGCTCTAAAAAAAAAGAATCAGAAATTCTGTATATGAAGAACTCAATTAACAAGATAAAAAAAAATGTAGAAAGCATAAAAAATAGAGCAGACCTTATGGAGGAGAGAATTAGTGACCTTGAAGACAGAAACCTAGAAATGCTCCAGGTGGAGGAGGAGAGAGAACTAAGATTCAAAAAGAATGAAGAAAATCTTCAAGAAATATCTGACTCAATTAGGAAAAGTAACATAAGGATTATGGGTACCCCAGAGGGAGAAGAGATGGAGAAAGGAGCAGAGAGCTCCTTCAAAGAAATAATAGCTGAGAACTTCCCAAACATGGGGAAGGAACCAGACATACAAGTACATGAAGCCAAAAACTGTCAAAAAAGAAAAGAGAAAGAAAGAAAGAGAAAAAGAAAGACAAATTATCAATGTCTTGCTTAAAAAAATGTCTAATTCCTCTAATTAAAGGAATATACAGAAAGGAACCTGAAAGACAATTGCAAGTCAAGGAAGTAACAGAGGTGGGTTCTGGATTGGGTTCACGGATTTCTTGTGTCCGTTTTTTACCTTTTGCTTATGTGTATTTTCTGGTTTTCTATTAAGTATATCTTGAATTCATAATTAAAGAATTTATTTGTTGTGGAAAAATTTCCAGAATATATTAAAGTATATTCAAAAATAAATAAAAATCACTCAATATTCACCATCCTCAGCTAAACAATGTTGGCATATTTCTTTTCCATCTTTGCTCTATGCCTTTTCAACAAAATTGGACTTGTATATTTCTCACTTAACATTATATGATGGGCATTTTCTTATTACATTAAAGACACTCAAAAAATAGAATTTTATTCACTTCATGATAGTCCATTATATAGATGGATATATGACCAGATTCTAAATTGTAACAAATCATTACTAATGCATACCCACTTTTTATAACATTCATCTCAAACAAGACTAATTTAAACTTTTTCATACAGGCTTGTGAGAAATGCAACC